GCTTGGACAACTGGCAAAGCCCCAGAAATCCAGCCCTTCTTAACACTGGCATGCTTTGGTACTTGTGAATGTGAGTGTGAGGTGCTCAGTGGAGGGAGTTGTGTGGTGTAAAACGGAAGAAAGATGTTGCTGAACTAGAATACTCAGCCCAAAAGTCTTTTTTCAAGAAGCAACTGGACTTCCAGGTTTTTCTTTGAAGACATTCATCACTTCTCATCCGAGAAGCTTCTTCAGCTCTGAAAAGAAAAACCAGAAAGCCCAGTTGCCCCTTGAAAAAACATCTTTGGGACAACCATGACCATGACGACTGAGAATCTCCATAGACATATAACTCCCAATATTCTTTTTTTTTTAAAACAAGTTTTATTAGTTTTTTAAAAAAAACAATACACAAACAAAACATAGGATGTAGTAACATAAAATATCTTTTCTAAAAAAACAAATAAAACATCTTATTTAAAAAGAAAATAATTCCAAATTATCACATTTCTATACAAACACAATTTAATATGTACATTTATCTTATCTGATCAACTTCATCTCTTTTCCCAACTTCTCTTTATTGCTCCCTTTCCTTCTAATTAATTGTATTTCTTTTGCCTTGAATTATATATATTCATTGTATATAGTTTCATTAGTTCTCTTCCACATCCTTTCAAACATAGACAAACATTACACAAAGCATAAATACATAAAACTTCTTTTTGGAAAGCGGCTTACCCTGGGTTAAATCTTTTTGTACAGACATAAATCAAATTCGTGCTCACTTAATATACTATTTCATATCTTATTTAACATTCTATATTTTCTATATATTTTCTCTCTCCTATTCACTCTTTTAATTCTATTTTATTTATTTCATCTCAATTTAAATAATTATATTTGCATCTTTTGTCTGTTCTCTTTCAATCATCTATTTATCCTTTCTTTCTAATACAATATTTCTCCTGTAAACACTGATTGAAGTATGACAACTTTTTATCTTTCCCCTAAATTTAACACTTAAAATACATATTTTCCATACTGATTCTGCTTCGTACATTCTAAGTACTACATTTCAAAATAATAAAACAAGCAAATATTAAATTTAATAAGTAATAATAAAACAAAAAAAAGGAATACTGAGTTTATGATATAATAAGAACAATGTTTCATAGGAAATTAAACTCTATTAATTAACTCCCAATATTCTTGTCATTCCCCAGGCTGACCTCTAGAGCGTCTTGGCCAGCCTACCTGGACAGGTTGTTGTGAGGCTCTAATCTCATAATAAAACACAGTGTCCAACCTGCTTGGCAGGAAGGCAGGCTGGGAGCTGCCCTGCAAAGAAAACTGAACATCTCTGGGCTGCAGTACTCCCGAGGGCCGACAGATGGCCCGTCCTTTGCTGCCCCCTGTTGGCCGGTAGCGGAGTTGCTTCAAGGCGGGAAAGGCGGCGGCGTCGCCTTCCACAGTAAAGATGGCGGCCGCGGCCTTCCAAGCGCTGCTTCGGCCTCCCCGTTGGCGCTTTCTCGGCAGGTGTAAGTTTCCGGAGCTCGTGGGAGTCGGGGCGCGGGGCCTGGGCAGGTGGACGGTGCGGGGGGCAACGGCTTCATCATCCCCGGCAGCGGCTTCGCGACGACGAGCCTTGTCGGTGGGACCTGGGGAGCGGCAGCCACAGGAGGGCCGGCTCGCAAAGGCGGAGGCGGCGACGCACTACCGGCTGCTGTTCACGTGTAAGGTGGGTTGTTCGCACGGGATGCATTACCCCTCCTGAAGGGGTGGGAGCGGTTGAGGGCAGCGAAGCGAGGGCGCCACCTTGGCAGTGGGTGGAACGGAGGAGAGACAGGGAAGCCGCGGCCGCCATCTTGGCAGCTGGCGGAACAGAGCGAGGCTGCGCGCGTCGTTTGTGCCCTGTGCCATCAGTTGGGAAAGGGAAGGGATGAACTGGGAGGTCGCATAGAGCGACCTGAAGGAGGAACCAGCGAGAGCCGAGCCCTGTTCACACGACCTGCTTCCACACTCCTGGGTTTGTATATCCAGACTCCAGTGCAAGCCAACTTAACCTAGCATAAGACTAGGCAGATTGAGCAGCCCATGCAAATGTGAGGGCTTCCCTTGCCCGTGATGCTTATTGCATGAACTCACCCAAAAATCGGCCACCTTCTCCAGCCGGATGACTCTCAGTCTGACAACCTTGCCATCTGGGAATCCAAACAGTCTTAATTGGGGCTTGGATGGGAGACCACCAGGAAATGCAAGAGTTGCTGTCCTGCACTGGACAGTTAAAAAAAAAAAGAACCAGCTCAGTCTGTGTTGTTGCTCAGAAAAGGCTTTAGTTGCTTGTGAAGATACGGAGTGTGATGGGTTTGACCTGACGATGGTTTGTTTGCTCAGCTGACTGACATCTGATCTGGGAAAAGGTTAGTTGAGATCTGGCCTGTTTAGCACCAGGAGCCTGGCAGGGACTGGAATTGGAAAGGCAATTTGGAAAAGCAGCTATGGCTGATTGCTTAGGTGTTGCTCCCAAGAGAGCTTCAAACATCTCCCCTCAAATGGCATTGCCCCAAGATTTGCATGGCTCACACAACAAATGTGCACAAGTCTTTGAAGAGGAGGCTTTGCTCCAGGTTTGGCTTATTAGCCTGTTGGTTGAGCCACAGGGGTTTTTCATTTTTAATACAATAAGTGTTTTGCCCAGGTGTACATATTATTTCCTGTTTTATTTTTCTCTTTTGTAAGCCACCCAGAGTCATTGGGAGTTGGGCTGCTCTCCAAATGTAATAAAAGTAATATCTAAATAAATTTATACGTCCCCCAAATTCCCTGCCCTTGGATATCCCAGAGAAACATCCCTGAGAGGATCCTGGCTTCTCTTTCAGGTATGCAAGACACGATCTGCTAAAACTATTTCCAAGGTGGCTTATCATCATGGAGTCGTGATAGTGAAATGCTCGGGGTGCAACAACCATCATGTGATTGCTGATAACTTGGGCTGGTTCTCTGACTTGGAGGGGAAGAGGTGAGCACGCGGTCCTTTGTCTCCCCCTCCCCTTTTTTGTTCAAGGTTTGATGCTACAGCTGCTGAAGCTGGAATTAGTTCCTGGGAACAGTTCAGAGCTAACATGATGGGCACAGCAGAATTCATAATCCATAAATTTTGGCTTGCAAAATGAATACCTGTGCCACCCCACTCACTCGTACACACACGTGTGTTTTAGAGAGTTCATTAATGTTCCTCAGGAGTTCCCTTCACCCAGTCTCAGAACTGTCCCAAATAAATCCAGCCACAAATAGGCCAAGATTAGTCCACAAGAGCCAATAGTCCATAAAACAATAGAAAGTTGCTCCAACAAGTAAGTCCACCAAACAAACCCGCCAGGCAAAACTGAAAGTACATCCACAAGAGCTCACTTGGCAAGAGAAGTTCAGAGTCTCCAAGGCATAAAGTCAGGCAGGAAGCACAAACACACAGCTATAATCCAAACATGTTGTCTACAACGCCTCCCTCTGCCTGCCATGATAAATAGCTTTCCAGTGCAGCCCATCAATATTGGTGGAGCCTTCTCCCAAGTAATCTAGCACATCTCCTTTGCTCTTGTCTTTTTTCTGTCCTGCATGCTCTTGGATCCAACACGGAAAGCACCTCCTCCTCATCTTCACTGACCTGCAAACTGTCCCCAGCCAAAGCTCCCGTAAATCTTTTTCGGACGGCAATTCAGTTATTAATTAACCCAGTTCCTGATGTGCCAGGAATGAGCTCATTCCCCCCTTGAGCCGGCCTCTGAGGAAGAGTCTGAGGAGTTGTCCAAGAGAGACATCACAGCACCAAGCAGAATTTCTTCTGTTAGTAAAATCCCACAGAAACCATTTTACTCCATTATTGTTGGCTATTACTAGTCTATTTCAACAAATGAAGGCTGAAAGCATGACAAAATACATGAATAAAACATGATATCCATGTGATTGATAGCCTTCATGTATTTAAAGTAAGACAAAGAGGAAAGATGGTTTCTACTTGTCTTTTCTATGTGAAAGATGGCCTGTGCAGTCATTGTTAGCTGGGGTGTTTTCTTGCTTACAATTTCGCATTACAGGCAGTTATAATGTGCACAAAGCAAGGCTTTTCCTTCAGTCACAGCTGATGCTTCCTGCCTTTTTCGTAAAACAATTCTCTTTCTGAATTAGGAACATTGAGGAAATCCTCGCAGCCAAAGGAGAGAAAGTGAGGCGAGTGGCAGGCGAAGACGCTCTCGAACTCTTAGTTGAAGACCCCAAATTGCTGGAACTTCTGAGCAAAGCAGAAGGAGAGAAAGATCCAGAGTGATCAGAATAGACATCTTCAATCAACCCAGGGGAAAAAAAACTTCCCTAAGTTAGACCTTTATTTGAAGTAACGCTTTGTAGTGTTCCTTCAGTTGGGTTTTTTCAAATCTTGTGGATTGCAGGATTGTTGTTTCTTGGGAAATGTTTTTCATTGACTGGCCACAAGACATCCTGGTTGGCTGCTTCCAAGGTGAGTTGAGTGATTTCAGGGTCAAGAACTTTTGTAAACTATTTCAAACTGAGACTTTGCAACAGGGAAAATAAGTTTTTAGACATTTTTATTATTTAACAAAAAAAATCATGGACATAAGAGACTGACATTACACTGACTTGCAAACGTGTCTTATGTTTGAACTTATGCCCACAGAGCACTCAAACTACATATGCATCTAATATAAATCCTATAAAGTACTAGAAGAAAAAGTAAAGGGTCTAGAAGCAACTCTTATTTTGAAACTCGATGAACAAAGTGAGAAATCCCAACTGAAACAAGACGATACTGCAATTAAACACAACAGAGAGCAAACAGCATCTTTGAAAAACTGACCCCATATATGAAGTTCAATTACTCAGACATGTATCCGACTGAAGATCTTTCCACACTCAGGCATATGTAGCATTTCCCCCCATGGGAACCTTTCGATGTCGATGAAGGCGTCTACTCAGTAAAGTTCTTTTCACACTCAAGGGACGTAGGTGTTTTTCCTCAGATGGATTCCTTGATGTGAATAAAGCTGCTGGTTTGAACTGAAACTTCCCCCTCAGTCCAGGCATGGTTTTTCTCCTGTGTCAATCATTTGATGTCTATACAGAGTTCCTCTCACATTGAAACACATACCACATTCCAGCATTTATAGGGGATCTCTCCATGCACTCTTTGATGTTGACAGAGGTTTGCATCCTCAGTAAGCTCAAGGTATTTTACCATGTTTCCCTGAAAAAAAAAAGACCCAGTCTTATTTTCTTTTGGACACCAAGATAAGTACTAGAAGATGAAACAAATGTGTTGTGTGGGCTGCAGGCAAGCTGAGATGCGAAGATGAGCCTGTCATGGCTGGCCGCCGACTGCAGCCCAACTAATGGCTTGGCTCTTGGTCTGGGCAGTGCATCTGGATCGCCGGCCTCCCCTTCTGCACCTCTGCCTCCATCTTCTCCCTATATCACCGTGTGAAGATGAGCCTCTCACAGCCAGCCACTGCTCTGGCCTGACTCTCAGCTGTCTCCCCCCTCGCCTCTGCTTTCACCTGCTGCTTGCACAGGTGATCAACTCACTTGTGCTGTGTGGGCTGTGGTGCTGCCAGACAGTCGGCTCGCATGGGCTTGCTGTCTCCTGTGTTGGTCATGCCCACCTCTTCACTAGGGTTCATTTTTTGGGTATGGATATTAGCCACACGCTTAAAAATTAGGCCAGAGCTTATTGTTGGGAAAAAACGGCATATGATTTTTCTCCTATATGGATTCTTTGATGCCTATAAAGCCTTCCTCACAGATCGAAGCTTTTTCCACACTCCAGACATTTATGTGGAAAAACCAGTGTGAATCATTTCATGTCTATTAATGTTGCTCTTCCGAGTGAAGCACTTTCCAGACTCCAGACATTGAATGGTTTCTCTCCTGCATGATTAGATGGTTTTCAAGACCTCTATTTGTTTCAAAAGATTTTTTACATTCTGTGCATTGATATTTCTTTTCTCCCTCGTGGATTCTTTGAAGATTCCTGAGTCTTCTCTTCTCCTCTCACTGAAGCTCTTTCTACACCCCAGGTGTTTTTGCTTTTTCAATCCTAAGTGGACTCTTTGATGTATAATAAGGTGTCCTCTCCAATTGTAGCCCTTTCCACAATCCAGACATTTATATGATTTTTCTCCTGTGTGAAACCTTTCATGTTTATGGAAGGTTCCACTATCAATAAATCTCTTTCCACAGTCCAGGCATTGATACAGTTTCTCTCCTGAGTGAATCCTTTGATGTACATAAAGGCTGTTTGTCTGACTGAAGCTCTTTCCACATTTGAGGCATTTATAAGGATTTTCTTGTGTGTGGATTCTTAGATGGTTTTCATGATAGTTATTCTTTTTGAAGGATTTTTCACATTCTGGGTGATATTTCTTTTTTTTCTCGTGGATCCTTTGGGGATTCTTGGGTTTTCCAAAAGCCCCTCCACCCTCCAGGCATTTATTTGTTTTTTTTCTGGAGTGAATGCCTTCATGTTTTTCAAGAATTTGAATTGTTTTGAAGGGTTTTTCACATTCCCAGCATTCGTACACTTTTTGTAAATGGATTCTGTCATGTTTATATAAGCTGCTAATATGATTGAAACTCTTTCCACACTCAAAACATTTATAAGGTTTTTCTCCTGTGTGGATTCTTAGATGGTTTTCAAGATCAATATTTTTTTTGAAGGATTTTTCGCATTCCAGGCACTGATATTTCTCTCCTTCCTCCTGGATCCTTTGGGGATTACTGGGTCTTCCGAAGGACTCTCCGTCCTCCAGGCATTGATTCGGTTTCTCTATCAAATGGATCCTTTGATGTCTATAAAGGTTGCTTCTATCACTGAAGCTCTTTCCACAATCCAGGCATTTATTTGGTTTTTCTCCTGTGTGGGTTCTTAGATGGCTATCACGGCCGCTCCTCTGACTGAAGCTCTTTCCACACTCCAGGCATTTATAAGGTTTTTCTCCTGAATGGACTCTTTGATGTCGATCAAAGTTGCTCCTATGATCGAAGTTCTTTCCACACTCCAGGCATTTAAATGGTGGGTCACCTAAGTGGATCCATAGATGGCTTTCAAGATGGTCTTTTCTTCTGAAGGATTTTTCGCATTCTCGGCATTGATATTTCCTTTCTACCTCCTGGATCGTTTGGGGATTCCCAGGTCTTCTGAAGGACTCTCCGCCTTCCAGGCATTTATTCGGTTCCGCTATCAAATGGACCCTTTGATGCCTACAAAGGTTTGCCAAGTAACTGAAGCTCCTTCCACACTCCATGCATTTATACGTTTTCTCTAATGAGTGGATTCCTAGATGTTTTTGAAGACAGCCATTACTTTTGAAGGATTTGTCGCATTCCGAGCACTGATATTCCTTTCCTCCCTCCTGGGTCCTTCGAGGCGTCCGGGCTCTTCCAAGAGAACCTCTGCCCTCCAGGCAATTTGGTTTCTCCTGATGTCTACAAAGGCTTCCGAAATAACTGAAGCTCTTTCCACACTGGAGGCATTTATAAGTTTTCTCTCCCGAGTGGATCCTTTGATGGCTCTGAAGACAGCCATTATTTTTGAAAGATTTTTCGCATTCCGGGCACTGATACTTGTTATCTCCCTCCTGGATTTTCTGGGGATTCCCGGGTCCTCCGAGGGACCCTCCGCCCTCCAGGCCCGTCTCGGGATCTCCGCCCGTGTCCTCCTCCCCGCATCGCCCTCCGGGCAGTCCACTTTCCTGGGGTCCCCCGGGGCTCATCCGTCCTGCAGCCTCGGGGCCTCCCGGCCTTTCCCCTCCGTGTGCCGGGGAACCCGCGCCGGGACCGAGCAGGGCTCTTCCGCCTGGCCCGCTGTCCTGCTCCTCCTCTCTGGCGGCGCCTTCTTCCTTCCCCCGACGGGCTCCTTCGTCCTCCTGCGGGGGAGAAAGAGAAGCGGGTCACGGCTGCGTCCCCTTCCCCGCAGGGGAGGCCCA